CCGGGAATCGAACCCGGGCCTCCCGCGTGGCAGGCGAGAATTCTACCACTGAACCACCAATGCTGCAGCTGTGGGGGCCTCTGCCCAGCTGTGCCACGGCCCCACGCCACACGGGCACCCTTGGGAGCCCCACACACCCAGGGGCCACATATTGCGGCAGCTCCTGGGGCAGGCCAGGGTGACCACCTGCCGGTAGGCGCCGTACTTCCTGCCTAGGGCGTCCAAGAGACGGCACAGCTCCTGCGTGTACTTCCAGGACGGGTGCTTCTCCGGCAGCACCTGGCGGATCCTCAGCAGAGCCTGGGAGCTCACGTGGAACCAGAGGTACCGCAGGGCCGCCTCCGACACCGTCCCGTTACGCTGCAGGCGAGAGGGTGCCCAGGTGGGAGCCAGCCGTGAAGGGCAACCTGCCCGGAGGGTCCCCATGCTCTGGGGACACACTGGGGCATCTTGCCACAAGGGCGAGGACCCCAAGGAGCCCAGCCTCGGGCTGGCACGCGGCAGAGCGGGGGGCTGCCCCAGCACCCTCGTGCAGCCCTGGCTCCACGCGGGCGCCTTACCAGGCGGGTGATGTTGGAGGGCCGCAGCACCTCTTCGTACTGGACCTGCACGGTGTAGTCGAGGGGGAAGTAGTGTTTCTGCGAGGGCGAGAGAGAGCACGGCCGCTGGCAGCAAAGGCCTCCAGCCCATCCGCCAGGCCGAGTCAGCGGCGGCAGGAGCATCCCAGCCACCCTCGCTCAGAGAAGGGGAAGGCACTGTCCCATAAACCCCACGCTGGCCACGGCAGAAGGGGAAGGGGTGCCAGGGATGGAGCCCCGCAGCGTGGCCACCGCTCCAGGGCAAGATGACATCAGCGGGGCAGGACAGCCAAGCCAGGGCTCCGCAGCAGTGACACCTCCGTGTCCAAGCTCCGCAGTGCAGAAGCTGGGGCTGCTCGAGCAGGGAGACACTGGGGTGCCAAAAGCCGGGGATGGGGATGGGACGCGTGCCCCTCCAGTCGGTCTAGAGCCCTGCGCGATCAAGGGGACAGTGAGGGGGCCCGGGGCAGGGTTACCATGTACTGCAGGCGCATCTCGTACTGCAGCTTGTCCTGGAGCAGCCGGGTGATCTCGCACTCGCCCAGCGCAGCTGCCTCCAGCCCCATGACGGCCACGACACCTGGGCAGGCGT